AACTGAAAACACAAAACGACTTTTTATCGTTTTTAGCGTTTTCAGTTATAAATGTCGAAAACGCTCAAAACGAGTCATTTTCGGGTGAAAACTAAAAATCATTTTGAAAATGAAAATGGAAACCAACTGCACCCTTAATGTTCTCAACTCTCTGAGCTATTCGTTCTCATCCTTATAGTTAGCTATTTTTGTGATTGTTAAAGCATATTTGAGTTATGAATTATCTTTATTTCATATTATCCTTTTCGTACATATTTTACTACTCTTATATTTCCTACGTATTAAGTGACAGTTATCTCTATATTTTTAGATCTGGGATTCTTACACTGTGAAGGCACAGGCATTCAAGACGGCCACTGAAGCCGCCTGTATGCTATTGAGAATTGACGATATAGTGAGTGGAATCAAGAAGAAGCAAGCACCCGGAGCAAGCCAAGGTCCATCAAAGCCTAAAATCAAGGAGGAAGGCGATGTTGATAACGAAGAAATGATTCCTGAATAATCCGAAATGGAGGCTGGAATTCAGTTGAATGAAAGTTTATCAGTTTGTGGGGTTTTCGATCAAGTTGTTCTTGACAATTTTGGCAAAACTAGTGATTTATGTTGCATTACTTGTGTTAAGACTTGTGGTTCAATCTGAAAAGGTCAACCCTTATAATTGGCATAAGTTTTCATCTTTATTCGATATGTGCTTTTCTTTTCACTTTGTGAAAGTAGCCAATAGTTGTCTTGTAATAGACAGGCCGAATAAAACCACTTGAAATCAATTGAAGAACTACAACAATATTTCATTAGTTTGCATTTTAGCTGTGATAAAAATGGAAGAGATCCAAGTGAAAAAGAAGAGGATTTTATTTTCTTGTCTGTGGCTTTTTTCTTAACCCAGAAAACCAATTAAAATTGACCAATCATCGTTGAACATGATAAAGATAACGAGGTGGACCGTAAAGCTCAATAATGGCACGTGGTTGGTCCACCTATTCGATATTACATGGCTACGGACTAAAGTCATAAAGCAACATAATCCCCACCGAAAAAGAAAATTCAACTTTAAAAAAAAATTATTTTCATTCAATGTGCCTTTGCCTTGTATCATATTCGACTAAAGTTTTATTTAATTCAGCTAAAAAAAGTTGATTAAAAATTGAAAATCATATATGGGCAAAAATTAATCGACTTATTTATATTTTAAACTCAAAAGTTTCCTTTATTTTAGAACATTCAAATGTAATTAGTAAGTTACTACTGAATTATAATCAGACTCGAAATAAAATTAAGTTTGAAATAAAAAGATAGTCTTATAAAGTAGCAGAATAAATTTCCCTATCCCGAGTTGGGAACAGAATTAAAAACAGGGGGTGCCACCCTATTGGAGGGGTGCCGACCAGGGGCAAGCGTCCCTCCAATAGAGGGGTGCCACATTATCCCAGTCCCCAACGCGGGACAGGGAGCACGACTGAAAGTGGCAACCTTTACACTTATTTTCTTAGGCACACCAATTAATATTGTTGGTCCACATCACATGGATGATTTAATTCCATAAAAATACGTGTCCAACCATAAAAATAATTTTTTTCTTCTAATTTGGAATACTTTCTATATTTTTTGGCCTTAAAAAGTAAAAATAGCAATAAAGGTCACCGATCTTTGATGTCTACTGCACTTGAGTCCATGACTTTTAAAAAAAGACCACGCATTTTATTTTGGTAGAGAATGAGTCCCCAATAAATGATTCCGCACCCCCATCTTTAATCAATACGTTAAAAATAGTTTAATTTTTTGATTAATTATTAAAAATAGCTAATAAAATTATGTTAGTTAAAAATTTAGTTTACCATACAAGTTGATAACAAAAGTTATAAAACTATGAAAACTAAATTGTAGCTAAAGAAAATTCCGTTGATAATTAAGTAATAGTTAAAAATATCTATACATTATCACATATACAAAAAAATATTTTAAGTTACAAAGAGAAATTTTGTCGTTAAATTATTAAGAAATACAAATGAATAAAGAATCTCCGTTGGTGACGTTGATGGTGCATGGTTGTGAATGACATCAATTATGACACTAATGTAGTAATTTGTTGATAGTGGTATAGTGATGATAATCGACGGTATTGCTATCAATAATTTCATTTGAATTGTTAACAGATAATGATTTTCACTCAAATGACCACTGATAAACCATTGGTGATCAATGATATTTTATCATTAATAACTTTCTTTATCAAATTATTGTTATTATTCTTGAAATTGCCCTTCAAAGATTTTGCTTCTACCCTCAAGTTAATTAAGCTGCTTATTCCAAATTTGACCCCCAAAAAAACAAAAAATAGTCTACTTATATATACTTATAAGTAGATCTTTGTAGTTTAGTCAAGCATTAATTTGCCACTTAGGTCCCACTCTCGGGCATAATTGTTTTTGTCTATCTTAGCCTAATACACAATGAATTTCTTTAGGTTAAAGTAGGATTTGTTTTAGTTGCATTTGTAAGAGAATATATTTTTGTAATAATGTATTTTTGGAGAACGTGGAATTAAATAGTAAGAAAAAATTTTGAATTTACGCTTAAAAATATTTTATTGAAAAAATGTGTAGTCTTAGTATAAATTAAAGAGAAAATATAGAAATCAATAGATTTGTATGTGTTTTATTGAAAACCAAAATTCTATATTTATAGGGAAGAATTATGTTTGCAAGGGATACAATTAAGGGTACAAATTTGGCCCGTGGACTCAGGCGGAGTGGCTCGAGCTGACCCGACTAGTGGTTCGAAAGAGCCGAGCCCCATTTCAGGGCGTCTGCTCAAGCTAGAGCTAACCTATGTGACTCGTTGAGCCACGGACGAGCCGGCCCCATAATGAAAATATAATTTTAAAAAAAAATCAATGAAAAGATAGTTGCTTTGTTAAGGTAGCAGTAGCTTCAAAAAAATACATAATTTTTAAATTTATTTATTTCAAAAAAAATTGTACACGAAATATTTATTTCCTGTACAATCTTAAAACTATCTACGATGATTGTAGTCGGTCTCAAACTCAAAAAATGAGGAGGGTTGTAACTTTTATTTAATTTACAATTCATATAAATTACACAAATTTTAAATTCTTTAAAAAAATATTAGTTTTGTCACGAACTAAAAAAAAAAAAAAAAAAAAGAGCTGGCTCGAGCCTTCACTTTTTGATCGAGCAAAAGCTCGGTTTGGCTAGGACAAAAAAAAAATTGTGTACGTTTTTTCTCGAATCGAGTTCAAGTTTCGAGTTTTGACTCGATTCATTAACATCCTAAATGCAATAATATAATAATTAGGTATTCAAAAAAAAAAAAAAAAAAAAGTGAGCTGGCTCGAGCCTTCACTTTTTGATCGAGCAAAAGCTCGGTTTGGCTAGGACAAAAAAAAAATTGTGTACGTTTTTTCTCGAATCGAGTTCAAGTTTCGAGTTTTGACTCGATTCATTAACATCCTAAATGCAATAATATAATAATTAGGTATTCGCAGCATAGTTAAAAATAAGTTTAAAATTTTTTATTTTTATTTTTTTAAAAGAATGCAGCTCAAATAGGAGCTTAAAAGTTGAGCAAATTTAGGGTATGTTTGAGCCTCTCATCCTTTCTTTCTTTTTTTCGGAGGGGGAATAGGTTTTGTAATTGTTATTTTTCGAGATTATGGTTAAAAAGTAGAAAAAAATTTGAATTTACATGTAATTTGTTTTTATTTGGTGAATATATGGTTGACACACTGTGTTCGGTCTGGATTAAAATCAGGTTTTAATCTAAATCAAAGTTAAATAATCAATATTAACCACATCTTTTGTGGATCCCATAACATTTCAACTATACATTTTAAAAAACTTTAATTACAATCTACAAGAAAATTTAATTTTAATCCCTACCAAACATCCTCATAATAAGTTTGAAAAAAAAAAGACTTTTTGAAAGACGGGGCTCAAATAAGGATTAATTAAAATTTCTTATTGTACTTCATTATGGAGTTAATTATCCCAATAATTACTAAATTTATGTTCATATCTTCGATTGTTCGTAAAATTTAAAATGTTAAGGTTTTGTCATAAATCTATCCAAACATTGAATGTTATTAACCGACTTAACTTCCATTTGTAATTTCCCCTACCAACACTTTTTCAGTCGAGTCTGTCACATCGGGCTTGTCTACCTGACTAACGTGGTTTATAAGCTATTGCGTCGGCTTGAAAGTTTACCCAGTACTCACCCGAAGGGTAGCGACTGCGATTTCCCCCATTATGAAAAAAAAAATTATAAATGAAAGTTAAGCTAGTGAATAACATCCAAAGTTTGGATGAACTCGGTGGCAAAATCTCGATATTTGAAAATTGAGTAAGCAATTTCACTTATTATTGTCTTCATTATGACATGCTTTGAACTTAGGGTGCGTTTGATTGCAAGCATGTAATTTGCATGAAAAGAAAATAAATTCTAGACAATTCAATTGCCTATAACTTATTTACATGAAAATTGTCAATTAAATGTGTTTAATTGATTTATTTTTAAACCTAGAAATATTATACTTGTTCACTTTTTATTGGTGAATAAATAAGAGAGTGTAGATAGATGAGAGAGAAAGACATAGTGAATTCTCTTAAAAATAAAATCATATTCCTTAAAGAAAATATTTTTCTTGATTTTGTAAAAAATATGACCACGTTAACAAAAGTATGAAAGTATGTTTCACTAAAAAAGTGCCAATCAAACAGCAAAAAATTAAAATTAGAGTGGAAAAACACATTTTTCATAAAAAAATATTGACAATCAGATGCACCCTTACAATTTAGTGCTTGTTTGCCACCCTTTAAAATTTTAAATTGTTTACCATATATTATCTTTTACCACATATGCACATAATAAAATATTCTATACACGTACCAATAAAATTTATTTATTTTTTAATCACGTATCCTTTAAAAAAAAAAAAAAAAAGGTTTATTATTCAAAACCTTTTAAGTTTTCAAATAATAGGACAAACGGCAAGCAAATCTTAAGCGAAGAGGAAAAACACACATCTAAGGTGGAAATCGCAGGTGAAGCTTCTGAGTAAGAGCCGACGAGGCAGGCCCCAACAATACACTGCGACTGGGTCCAACCGTTTCCAGGAATGAACACGACATAAACTCCAGGTCCAAATTCGAATTCGACTCTAATACTGTTTTCATATTCCAGATGAATTTCATTCTTTCAATTTGTGACTGGACAAGATTCTCCCATTTTCCTACTGCTTTTCCAAGAAAAAGGAATAAATGCCATATGCGATTTTGCTTTGTTTTTCTTTAAATTGCTGAGAACCATGATGAATTTTTCTATTTTGTTGCAGAACTAAAAAAACCATCTCGTAATTTGATTCAAATAGTTATTTTATAATCGGAATATCTAGGTCGGGAACCGTTCTGAGATCCGATGGTGAAGGAGACAGAATACTACGATGTTTTGGGTGTGAACCCCACGGCCACCGAGGCCCAGATAAAAAAAGCTTATTATATCAAGGTATGTAAAATCCGTTTACCGATTAAATTCATGAAAGCGTACTTTTGTATTTCTTTATTTAGTTGGAACGATTGAGCTTTTGTTGTTTGCTTGAAGAATTAGTGGGGATTAGGAAACTCAGTTTAAAAGAAAATATGTTACTTTTACTTCATCAGCTACAGGATAATCTTTTACGGGGTTTCTGACTTTTGAGCAAGCTAATTTAGCACTTTGCAACTGAATATTTAGGCTATATTTGTTACTTCTATCTGAGAGTAATACGATTTTTGTGAGGTGAACTACATGTTCAACGAATGTAATGGAGAAGACTGGGTTCTACTCAACTGTGAAAGCAGGATACTTCGTTTTTTAGAAATATGATTTGACAATATAGAATACTGGTTTCTGCAAGGAGTTTCTGGTGACATTGTAGTGCTATGATATATAAAATTTTGCCTCTCGAGAACTTTTGAGTAAGAGAAATATATCTCTCCCAATTGAATGTAGATTGATGTTGGAGTAAATTCTTTTCTTTAAGCAAGTTGTTGTGCAAGCTTAATAGTGTTACACAAGAGTCTGATCTTTTAGAAGGGTACAACCTTGCACACTTGTAGTGGCCAGGTTTACATGATCAAACAAAGAGCAACTCTTGCCTTCTGAATCATGGTAGAATCTGCTGCTAACAAAAGTGAAGAGGGTAAAACTTGTGGTATCCTTCTTTTAATAGACGTTTGAAAAATAATATGCCAGTGGTGAGTGAATTTAGTTTGACACAATTGAATGAACGATACTAGGGCTGATGCTTTTGCTTTAACTTTTCTTCTTAATAAAGGGCTGGTTCTGAACACGGTTTTCTTTAAAGATGACTCCTATTTGAAGGAACTTCTTTGGAAAAGTTTTCTATATTTTGTTCAACAGACATGAGATAATCTTTTCGCAGTTGATTTGGTGGGAGCTTACTCTGACAAATGCATTTAGGTTTCGGAACGAGGTTACCCAAAATTTCTCTAAAATTCGCATTGCACTTCCATTTAAGGATTGATTTCTAAGTGGTCTGCTGCCAAAGCCTTAAATGATGACAGGAATACTGCCCTGTCCCACAAGAACTTAGATGTGGGAAAACGCTCCTAAAATATTTTCGCCTTCATTTCTATCCAAATGAAGTGAGTGATGGCCAATGTCCTATAATATCTCACTTCTCCTACCATCTACAATCTCATCTTCAGCTCTCTAGCAAAAGAGCAGTACCGAAATGGATTCGTGTTCCATGAAATATCTGTTTTAAGTGTTTTGCAGATTGAGCTTGCATTGGCATTTGGGCAGCGGCTTTTTATCGTTTCCTTTTCTACATATTGTAGGCATTGGAAGCCTTAATTCGATGCTCCATATGGAAGAGGCTGAGTAGATCCGTAGAGTATTTAAATTCATTCTTAATTATAAACCATTTGAAGATTAAGAAGAAGTGTTGTAAATCTGTTTCATATTAAGGAATGCAGAAACCCTGCAGGCTACAGAAGTTGCCTAGGGATTCATGTGATTTCATGGCAACCAAACAAATAACTTAAAAGAAGATTTAATGCTTGGAAGATAGAAGGTTGGGGCTGAAATTATAAATCCCATAGGCTGATTGTGCTATATAATCAAAGTTAAAAGAAGAATAAGCTCTCTTCTTTATGTAGGTTTCCAGTTTTAAGTTGAACTACAAGATGATTGCAATTTCAAAATTACTTGAAAGGGGTTTATGGTTTTTTGGTTCATTAAATCTAGATCTTTCAACTTCAAAGTTTATTCATACCACTCTAGAAAGGGAAACGAGGCACTTTGCTATGTAATTATGTTGATGGCATTATAAGGTTTCGTTCTATGATATGTTTCTCAAGTAGAATCCTGCTAATAGCTTGGTATTCTCCTGTCTTTATGTTATGTGTTTGGTATTTAAGGTGAGGTTTCATTTATGAGATTTTAATCTGAAGCATCACTATTCTAATCCTGGAAACGAGATTCTGTGCGGATAAGTCTATCCTATTTACCTGTGAACGTATTAATTTCCAGTTCCTACAAGTATATGTGGCGGATGGACCTGAAAACAACACGTGGCCTCTAAGGTAGTTTCTTAGGACGGTTATTCTAGATTTTTTTTCTTTGATTTGATTTATGGTTTTGAATGCATTGTTCTTGTATGATTCCTGTTTGCATTCTTTTTGTTTTGCCATATTTGGAATTTATTTATGGTTTTGAATGCATTGTTCTTGTATGATTCCTGTTTGCATTCTTTTTGTTTTGCCATATTTGGAATTGAAACTACATTAGACTGAGAGAATTATCAGTCCTATTTTTGCTTCACATTATGTTTCATTATCCATTTTGTTTGTGGGTTTTGCAGGCTAGACAGGTTCATCCAGATAAAAATCCGAATGATCCTTTGGCAGCACAAAATTTTCAGGTGAGATTTCCTCCAGATATTATTAGGAAGCTTCCTAGATTTTGCCACTTTGTAGCATGTTTTTTAATGTGTTTCTGTAAGCTGGATGAAGAAAGTAGCTAAAGCATATTTTGTTTACGGCTTTTGTTTTGGATGCAGGCTAATTTTATTTTGCTGATCTAGTTGATATCGTGTTTTCGACTAGTCACATGTTATTGTGCACTCTGAGTTCTCTTTTGTCTTCTGTTTAACTTATTATGTGTAAGTCTAGGACTGAGATTTGACCTTATAGCTTTAGGAGAGTCAAACTTAAACGAAAGTTCAGTTCAGCATTATTTTCATTTCTTTTTACTTCTGCATTGAATAATGATGGCGGTTCTTAGCAGAACATAGCCTTGGCTTTGCACGTGCTAGTTTATCATTTTCAGTTCATATATCCACTGTTAACTTGGTAGAGATTTTGCCCTTGACGAAGAGAAAGGCGTTGAAATAGACAAATTTAGAAGGCAAGTTGAAACATCGACCTACTGCCTTAATCAACTGGAAACTTCAACACAGGGGATGCTGATTATGAGTCTGACTAGTGCCATATGGGGGGAAGGATCAATGATAATTTCAATAAAGGATGTCAGCTCCTCCTCGATTGATTTATTGCTGTAATTTTACAATTTTAAAGAAGGGTCAATAAAAAGTGAAGTTAGTACAGTTGAAATGGAGGACATGCGTCTGCATGGTGTGGTCTACTCAACTCGATTTGTTGGAGGGGAAAATAAAAATCATTATTTGGGAAGATGAAAAAGAAACTCCAGAGGAATTTTCTGCCTGCAACATCTGCATCAAGCATCAAGGAAGCCAATCAACTGATGAATAGGCAGAGGAGTTTTATCAGTTAATAACCTGGGAAGACATCTTGGAGAGCAAGGAACTATTGATGCAGTGTATTGGTAGTTTAGCAGCACATTCAATCTTACGCACTCTCCTAACTGTTTCTGAGGCATTTGAGAATGCATGGTCGTGAAAAAAAAAGTAAAATGGAGCTAACGATGGGAATGGAAATTCCTATGAGGCCTCTGGCAAACCTGGTGCAAATGAATTAGCTAGGTCTTGATAGGATAAACAACCTTGTGACAACAAGGGAGGCACAAAAAGAATTTTACAGCTCCTGAAACAAGTTCAAATAATCACACACTAATTCCTGGAAGTCAAGGTAGTGGATCAACAAGCCAACTCTATGAGTGGGAAACTCTTAATATTTAGCGATTGAGTGTGGAAAAAACAGTAACAGAGAGAAAACTTTAATATGGGGAACAATGAACTAGAAGAGGAATCTATTGGTGAAACCAATTTATCTCTTCATTGAAATAAAACTATAAATATATGCATACAGAATTGTTGCCTAATAAGGCTGTAATTCTATAGTTATCTCTAGCTCTATATTGCAGCTCTCCTATAATGAATAATAGTTGACTAATATAACATCTAATTACAAGCATATACATATACACGGTAAAAAAAAAAAAAAAAAAACTATAAATCAAATTCCTAGAACTAAGGATTAGGTCGATCTTCACTCTCCCTTGAGGCAGTTCGAAAATTTGTGCGTGCCAGCTTGTTTCCCATAGACTTCAAACTTGTTCTTGCAATTCCGTTAGTGCACAAATCTTCTAGTTGAAGTCAGAGGAATGCAAGGAATGCTTGTGATACTGCCTCAATCTTTTTTTAATTGTCTATCTAGTGAGCAATGTTGATTATAACTTTGTTTTCATAGAATAGTTTCGTTGGTTCTTGAATCTTCACCTGTAGACCCTTAGAGCGCTTTATCCCACATGATTTCATTAGTGCCTAAAGCTATTTTACGAAAATCAGCCTCAGAACTAGATCTGGAACCTGACTTTTGTTTTTAACTAATACTAGTTACCAAATTACCTCCAAAATGCAGCAGTGCAAATTGCTGGACCAGTGCAATTTGTTGAAGGGGGAAGGTCTGATACACGTGAGTAGGGGTTGGGGAATTATTCACATGATAGTCCAGTACGTTGTTTGTTTTGTGGGGGAAGGGAGAGGAACATTTCTTGAATAAATTGAGAGCTAATAAAAGGGGTGGTGGGGGTGGGTCATTCTGTCATTCATTCAGAAATTGATAGTGGGATAGGGAGAGGAGCTAACTCTTTCAGAATGCCTAGATTTCATTTTAAGTTCTTGGTTATTTCCATTCAATACAGATATACAATGACAATTACGAATACCAGTTCTATCGATAAATACAAACTACAATCTCTTTTAATCTCCGTCTGATTCTTTTTGTGTATTCAATTGCAATTCTGTCCAGTTACAACCCAAGATACAAAGATCCTATCATATAGCTGTCATGACATTAATGGCTATTCTTTGAAAACACAAGTCGTTTCCATGGAGTAGCTTTTAGATACCTTAGGATCCTCATTACAGAATCCATGTGTTCTTGTACAACTCGTAAAATATGCAATGTCTGCCGGAGCATGAGATAAAGAAATCAATCTTACCACGAGTCTTGGACATCTCTCTTTGTCTACTGGAATAAAACCTTCCTTTTCTTTTAACTTCTGACAAGGATCAGCTGGAGCACCCACAGATTTTCATCCCAGTTAATTTGTTTCATTAATACGTATTGTGCTGCCACATGCTGATAAATGTTCTTTCTGAGGTTGCTTCCCTGCAAAATCCTGCAGTCCTTTAGACCCATGCCCTATTAGTGTAAGAGGTTGTTTGTAGGGATTCTGAGAATTGATTTTTTGACTGTTAAAATTAAAAGTGGTTCCTATTTGTGAGAGAAGAATTAAAAAATGACGACTGGAATTGAAATAATGGTTAAAAAATAAATCTCAAAGAATAATAAAATAACGGTGAAAATTTGATTTTAGTTGGCTTAAAATCCTCACCAAACACCCCCTAAATTTAGCAAACAAGTTGACATGTAGGGGAGTCAAGTCGTGTTAGTCTCACTCAGAACTTATAGGTTATAACTCATCTCATGCCCTTATCGAATGTCAAATGATAAGACATTCTAGTTTTTAGCTTGCAATAAAGCTTTTCGGACGATCAGCCATACTGGGACTGAGACACGGCCTGGACTCCCGCGGGGGGCAGCAGTGGGGAATCTTGGACAACCTAAAAGGAAAAGAACATAGGAATTACTAGTCTTACGCTCTTGTTGGTGAGTGAATAAGCGCTCGTACAGCCGTGAGCCTATTCTTGAGTTTATCAAGGCTGGCTAGGAACAAGCTCAAGATTGTATTTATGCAAGCAATACAAAGACCTTGTTTGGGCTCCGTTATTTTTAAAATGCATTTTTCTTTTTTATTTTTAACTATACATTCTCCAATAAAATAAGATTACATGTAAATCCAAATTTTTTCTTATTTTTTAACCTCGCATTTTTCAAAAAATTACTATTCCAAAATACACTTTACCCAAAATTTGTTTTTAATGGAGTCCAAACTGGGACAAATTATAAGCAAGCTGTTGATGGGAGGCGATGTGTTGTGTTGTGCTAAGTTTATGTATGTGCTATATCAACTAGAGCATCATCTGGCTTGGAAGTGCAACAATTCTTATTGCACTTGAGATTGGACCTTGTAAGATAATTAAAAGGTGGTCTATGATAATGCTTTTGATTCAAGCATCTTGTTCCTTAGCTTGGTGTTGTTTCAGGAGTTGGTGATGAAAATTTGAGATTTTGGGAAAAATTTATAAACTGTTTAATTCATAAGTAGATAGAAATGAGTGGTGGATATAGTACTTATGAGTCCACTGAAGTGTGTGGCTAAAAATGAAGTTTGAATATTTATAAATAATTTATAAATTTTGCATAACAGGGGACTATTATTATTAGAGTTTAAGCATAAGTAGAAGGACTTTGCAAGATCCAAAGATTTAGAACTTGAGAAAATTTAATTTGTTGTTATCTTCTATTCTTTCTTTATTTGGGAATTAATTTGCCGTTGGCTTATGGCATTATATTGATGTATTGTTTTTATGCCAAAAATTGGAGCTGGACTTTTTCTGTCGGAACTGTCATTTAACTGTTGGTTTTGTACATGTATGGGCAGTTGCAAAAAACTTATGCAAACAATGATTGAATCTTGCTAAAGATGAGCAATGAACTATTGTTCTAGTTCCGTGGATATTCATGTTTAATGTGTGAGGAATGGTCTTGATGTTTCAGTTTCTAATCTTCCCCTTGATTTCAGATTTTAGGAGAGGCTTACCAAGTATTGAGTGATTCATCCCAAAGGCAAGCTTATGATGCCCATGGGAAGTCGGGAATTTCAACGTCAGTCTATTTTCTAATTTATGAACTTCATTAGCTTTTGCGTTGTCAATAGCTTCTGATATACTGATTTAATTTTTAACATTTATGCTCTGACGACTATTTTCTTGCCTTGATACCTTTCAGGGAAGCAATTATTGATCCTGCAGCAATTTTTGCAATGCTTTTTGGAAGTGAGCTTTTTGAGGACTACATTGGCCAGCTTGCCATGGCATCGATGGCTTCACTTGATATTTTTACAGAAGAAGAGTTTGATGCTAAGAAGTTGCAAGAGAAAATGAGGGTAAAATTTTGAATATTCCACATTGAGCGTTTAGAACTTATCATTCATGTGTGGCTCCGTAAGGGTTTCTTTTATCAAGGTTAGCTGGGATACGAGGTTACAGTAAAGGGAAAGGGAGTTTAAAAGGTCCTTGTGCTTATATTTTCTGCTCCTAAAATTCCACTCTCTACTAAAGAAAATGATATCTTATATAATTTTGAGATCTATTCTTCTAGTTTCTATCTTCTTCTCTGGTTCCCTTTTGTAGATCATATTTGAAAATAAGTGCAGCAGGACAATTCAAGCATTGTCAGATCCAACTTGATTTTCCTATTTTGCTAGTGTAGGATTCTGTTATTATTGGTTTTACATTTTTGCTGATAGGATTTTAGTTCTGGATAATAGGTTGTAGTAGGTGATTGTTTTACTTTCCTACTAGGCAGTGATTAGCACTTTTTTGTAGTCTATTAGGATATTACTGTTCTTCTTTGAATCCCCATATAAGAATAGGGATAGACATGTTTTTTAAAATTCTTTTGAATAGGGAATGCCTTCTAATTATTGACTGAAAGAAAAGATAACATGTTGGTGTAGAGAAAATATTACTCAAGTTAATAGCAGGATGAAATTTTAACATAGTGATTAAGATGTCAATGTGATCCTCAAAAAGGAAGGGAGAAATTCTTTTATTGGTATCTGCCTTGAATTGAAATTTATTATTATATCAGCATTTATTTAACTGAGGGCTTTTTCCTTGTAAGTTTAGATTGTTCAAAAGGAAAGGGAAGAGAAGCTTGCTAGTATACTAAAAGATCGGTTAAACCTGTATGTCCAAGGGCATAAAGAGGAATTTATTCGTAATGCCGAAGCCGAAGTATCAAGGCTCTCCAGTGCTGGTAACACATCATTTTTTCCATTTTCCATTCCAGTTAATGCTTCATGTTTCCTAGCCTTTTCTAGTGATGTCATTTTAAGACTTGTAATTCTGGAACTGTATGGAGTTACTGCCTGCTTTCTTTTTCCATTTCGTCTCTTTGCAGCTTTCTTACAGTTTTCGTAACATTGTATATGAAGAGAAAAGTTGTCTGTATTGCCAAATACCTGATAGCTTCAAAGATAAATAATAATAAACTATTTAGCTTCATTATACAAATTTGACAGCAATTCAGCCCTAATTTTATGTGATTGAAATGCTCGACTTAAAACCTAAGTCTTCCAACTAGACTAGCTGATCTCAAAAAATCCTAAAGGCTGATGGGCATTGATACCTCCTTCTCTTCTTTTTTTTTTTTTTTTTTTTTTCAATCAATTAGATAGCTGATTCAGTGGGCTGTCAAGTCAATTCGCAAGGAAAAGAATCAGTGTAAATTTAATGTAATTGTATAAATTGAAGTTGTCCATTTTTTATGGAAAGTACACTGGGATGCTATAGCTATTAGTCGTTTTAATGCAAACCCACTTTTATGGAGATTTCTAAGTGGCCTAGGAGAATGTTAGCTAAGAGTGTTGCTGTATTATTGGATATCATCCTACTTTTATCAGGAAGAAAAATCTCAGTTAAGAGGGTTGCTTAATTTTTTAATTGCATCTCCCAAATAGAATTAGAAAATCCAGCAGCCAATTGGTATGTATTCTTTCACTTAAATAGTAGAGATGATCATCATGATAATTTGATGATATGTTGCTTCAATTTTCCTAATCATTTTGCTAGGGTGAAGCACTCTTCTTCTCCTTTGTATTGTCCTACGATTTCCATTCATTTGATCCTTTTCTTTTTCACAAAAATATTACATCATAAAGCCCACTCCGTCCCTAGCCTATGTAAATCAGTCTCTACAGTTTAAATAATGTTCATGGGTCATGTTTATCATCTCACAACAGGCCAGAATTTGGTCTCCAAACCATTATATAATTTTGTATCCTACCAATTTCCATTCTATCCTTACTAGATCTCTTTACAATATTCGTCATAGGAGGCTATATGAGAGTTTACAAAATCCCAGTAGGCTTTATGAGATTTCTTAAAGCTTTCTTGTGTGAATATGATCATGGGCTACCTTTTTGCAATTCACTTTAGAATGGATGCTTAGCAAAATGTTCTGGAAAGAGAAACACCAATGGATGTCTATTGTTGGATATATAATGTTCATATGGTAGAAATTCACCATGGCTTTAAAGTTCAAACAGTAAACATCACTCTTATTGACCTGTTTCACAAATATTTCTGTACCAAGCACCGTGAGAGGAGATGAGTTTACGACATTCAATTCAATATGCTAGAGGATATGGTATTCTTGCTAAGATATTTTCGAAGATGATTAAATTTATGATTCAAAAAGTTGTGAGGGGAATGAAGTCCCGCTAACTTGATGGTTTCAGTGTGGCATTGCCTCAAACAAGTCTCGATTGACTTGATGGATTCAATGTGAATTTGCTGTCTAACAGTTTGATGAGAATGTTTCTCCCAAGAGAAACCCTGCAACATTGACTGTTAATAAGTTATTTTCTAATAACAATGATGCAAATGATGCTATGTTTTATTAGCCTTGTTGCCACGTCAAAAGCAGTGATACACTATTAAGCCTGCTCAAGGTAACAGATCAAATTCATTTTTCTTCAGTATGCTGCTTTTTTTATCATCATTTACTGCAATTGGAGAAAGTCTCTGCCTCATCAACTTAATGTTCTGTTACAGCTTATGGCATTGATATGCTGAATACCATTGGCTATATATATGTAAGGCAGGCAGCAAAAGAGCTTGGAAAGAAGGTGATGTATCTGGGTGTGCCATTTGTTGCTGAGTGGTTCAGGAACAAAGGACACTTTATCAAATCCCAAGTAACTGCTGCAACAGGTTGGTTGTCGTGTGCTGTTTTGATAAGAAGCTGATTTTGATTGGTTTCTATACTTCTACTGGGATAAAATATTTTGCATTGTTTAGTTATCTTGATGTGTATCTAATTCAAAGTCAAGTATCTGAAAGTAGCAGTATGGCCATCATTTCTAGGCTTTCCTTGGTTTTGGATGTTCGAGATGAATTGCAACTGTGTTCCTTGTTCTTGTTGATTTTACCGATAAAACAAGACCCAAGATAGAGAAACTGGGAATCAAAGGACAGTGTATAAACCGGGAATGTCACGTCATGAATTTTTGTACAACAAACAACTCAATTTTGTCATACTACTAAATCCAAACACTAATAAACAACTAAAACGGTACATTATTTTGGAAGTCCCCATTCTTATTGAATCCAACTGCATGCTGTAAAAATTTCATATTCACCTAATTGAGTTTTTAAGACTGTAGGAGTGAGAAAAATTTAGGTAGTTGAGGATTCTTGGCTTGGAACATTTGGCGATGGACAAATGTCAGAATTTTTAACTTATTATTGGACTAATTTGTGCTGATTCCAAAAAAATCGGGAGCGATGGATATTAAAGACTTTAGTCCCATCAGCTTAGTAAGTCAAGATTATTGCAAATAGATTAAAAGAGGTGTTGGGGAAAGTAGTGTCTAAATTTCAAAATGCGTTTGTCAAAGGTCGACAAATTTTGAATTCCTTACTTATAGCAAATGAATGTATTGACTCGAGATTGCAAACAGGGTTCCAGGGATGTTATGTGAACTTGATATTCAAAAAGCATATGATTATGTGGACTAGGGATTCCTTTTGTATATGCTCAAGCGATGCGGGTTCGGGGATAAGCGGTGTTGATGAATTCAGTTTTGTATCTCTACGGTCTCCTTTTCAGTTTTGGAAAACGGCACTTTCGAGGGTTATTTCCGGAGTAGCAGAGGCTTGAGGCAAGGGAATTTTTTGTTTCCATTTCTGTTCGTTATCATTATGGAGGCGTTCGGTAGGATGCTTGAGAAGGCTATGAGGAGAGTTTGTTGAGGGGCTTTATGGTTGACTAATTGCAGGTATCTCATTTGCTATTTGTAGATGACATATTGATCTTCTGTGATGCAGATGCTGAGCAATTCAGGAACTTGCTTCTATGCTTTGAAGCTGTATCTGGTTTGAAGATAAATTTAGGGAAATTTGAGGCTATCACAATGAGAGATGTCAACAACGTAGAGGAGTTGGCGGCTATATTGAGTTGTAGGGTTGCGCAGTTGCCTATGTCATACCTTATGCTCCTCTTAGGAGCATATTTTAAAAGTATACACATTTGGAACATTATTGTGGAAAGGATGGAGAGGAGGTTAGCGGGTTGGAAGCGTATATACCTCTCGAAGGGAGGACGTCTTACCCTCATTGAGTCCCCCTATCGAATCTCCCTACTTATTTCTTATCATTATTTCCTATTCCAGTCTCAGTGGCAAAAAAAATTATTGAGGATTCAACGGGAGTTTCTATGAGGAGGATTAGGGGAGGAGAGGAAGCTTCACTTGGTTAATTGGAGTCTAGTTTGTTCTCCCCTAAGGATAGGGGGCCTCGGACTGAAAAGTCTTGTATTGTTTAATAAGGCTGTGCTTGGTAAGTGGTTATGGCGATTCGGCGTGGAGAGGGAGAGATTTTGGAGGGGAATTATAGAGGCGAAATATGGTGTTATGGAGGGGAATGGTGCTCGATCGTGGATCGTGATTTTTATGAGGTGAGCTTATGGAGGTATATCAGACGAGGGTGCAGAGACTTTCGGGATAGATTGATGTATGTGGTAGGGAATGACAATACTATCAGATTTTGGGAAGATTGTTGGTGTGGAAATCGACCGTTAAGAGTGGAGTTTCCGTCTCTGTACCGTTTTGCTTTGTGGCCATCTGCTATGGTGACTGAAGTCTTACATATACATAATGGGAATCTTAGCTGGAACATTGTTTTTGGGAGGGGTTTGTAGGATTGGGAATTGGATGATTATGCGCTGTTTTTAACCTCTTTGTATGAGGTGCACATCAAGGTAGGAGAGAGTGATTGTAGCAGGTGGAGGTTGGCGAGGGATGGTATTTTCTCAGTTGACACTTATTTTAGATCCTTATTGGGTCTTGTGGAGAGCTCATTCCTCTGGAAGATAGTATGAAAATGTAAACTGCCCCCTCGGGTGGCAATTTTACTATGGACGGTTGTGAGGGGACAGGTGTTATTAGTGGATGACCTCTGAATAAGGGGTTTTTATGTTACGGAATGGTGTTATATGTGTAGGAAGAATAGGAAGATGATTGACCACTTATTTATTCATTGCGAAGGTGCTCGTTTCTTATGGAACGATATTCTGGCTTCCCAACACATAGATTGGGTGTTTCAGCGGTGTATGGAGGATGTACTGAAAACATGGAGGAGAAAATTTCGTAATAATGATAGCACACTTGTTTGGATCTTATTCCAGGATGCATTGTCTGGTGTGTGTGGAGGGAGAGAAACAGTCACTGTTTTGATGATCATACACAGACAACTGAGCAGATTAAAGAATTGTTTTATATGACATTGTATACTTGGTTTAATGCTATGGCTTCTATTTGTATAGATGGGTTGCCTAATTTTAAGTTGTTTTTTTCTTGTATTAATTGATAATACACCGTCTCTATATTATCCGTGATTAATAAAATATTTGATTACCTATCAAAAAAAATTACACCAACCGGTTATTATCATTTTGTTCCAAGTTTTTTTTGTTGGCAGGAAAAAAGTGGGTTAAAGTTAAAAAGGGAAAATGGAAGTTGCAGACGTCCTAGTTAATTAGGTTCAAATTTAAGGAACTTGATGCAAACTGTTAAAAATGTAATAAAAGGGGTTTTTGTATGTTACTTGTGTATTTGTGAGTATAATGTGAATTTCTTACTGGTTACTTCCTTTAAAATCACTATTAGTTCTGCAAATCTTTAAAATGTGTTACAAGATAAACTACAATTTTAACATAATATTAATGACAAATGTTAATTAAAGCTGAAGAATTTCAACATTCCTTTTGTTTTTAAGATGCAAAGGGATAATGTTTCTTTTTCTTTTGTTTAATTGTAAGGAACTTGATGCAAACTGTTAAAAATGTAATAAAAGGGGTTTTTGTATGTTACTTGTGTATTTGTGAGTATAATGTGAATTTCTTACTGGTTACTTCCTTTAAAATCACTATTAGTTCTGCAAATCTTTAAAATGTGTTACAAGATAAACTACAATTTTAACATAATATTAATGACAAATGTTAATTAAAGCTGAAGAATTTCAACATTCCTTTTGTTTTTAAGATGCAAAGGGATAATGTTTCTTTTTCTTTTGTTTAATTGAGGGTGAGATCTGCAATAATATAGATGGAAGGAGACTAGTCTGACCATTGCTCGTGCCAATATAGTTCAGGACTGACCAACTAGCCCAAAATGCTTGTGCGCCCATATTGACAGATAGAAGTTATCGAAGTCTTGGAAAACCAATTGCACTATCATTCAAAACTCGGGTGGGATGAGGTATTACATGCTCCCCAGATCACATGTGACATATTTGTTGTTTCCAATCCATGGTACATATATCCGTGGATCACCCCACATCTCGGGCTCACATAACTGGATAGTATTCAGTGGCTTTTGATGCGTACAAGGATTCGAGTCAGATCTTTCTCCCTGCAAATTGGTTAGATGGGTTATACCCATATTGACATGTAGAATGTACACATATTAATATAAACCAGTCATATATCCTATCGCAACCACGGTGGAATGGTGTTCCATCAGAAAGATGTGAGATCATATCTTCAATATACTCGGGTTTTGTCTTCAAAGTTTGATCATTAGACAGTTTCTTTTGCTTAAAAGTTCTAACTACATGCATGGTTTGTAGCCAGGTATTTAGGGTGAGTTTTATAGGTGAACTATTCTCTTACTGTAATTCTTGAAATTATGCATATTAGTTTCAACTCAGTTCAAATATCCCCTACTTATCATGGCTGGCTATATGGGTCCTCTTCTTTCTCTCCCAAATTGTGAAATCTGATGATCCCAGTTCTTGAAGAAGCTGGCAAAATGTTGTGATGGTTGTTAGGCTACCACTTCCCACCTTCATTTGGATTTGGACTCTGTGTTAAAGACACAAAGCATGTGGCACAAGAATTATTTGGTTTTTTATATTTGTTTTGTAACATACTTATGGAATTAAATTAATTTTCTTAGGTGCTTTGGCTTTGATCCAGCTACAAGAAGACATGAAACGACACCTTAGTGAAGAGGGAAATTACACTGAGGACGAACTCCAAAAATACATGGAATCAAACAAGAAGTTGATGACCGATTCCCTCTGGAAGCTTAATGTGGCTGATATTGAAGCTACGCTGTGCCGTGTTTGTCAGATGGTTGTTCAGGACTCTGAAGTTTTTGGTTAAATGTTTTAGGTACCATTTTATTTTCTCCATTATGATGTATTATGATTTCCTTAGGTTCTTCAAGAAAACAATGTGAAGAGAGAGGACCTTCGTATGCGAGCAAAGGGTTTAAAAACCCTGGGCAAAGTTTTCCAGGTAATTTATATGCCCAAAGACATCGTCATTTTCCTGTTATATAAAATATTTCCATTCATTATATAAAATACTAAACATATTTTTGGGATGCATCAGAAGACGAAGTCAGTGAATGGGAATGAGACTGAAAATATACTAAATGGAAGTGAACCAAGTAGCAATGCTCCTCCTTTTAATACATCAGCAAGATCACCAATAGATGAAGAGGTATCTCACAACGCAATAGCATCCCAGGTAGTGCTTTCATTTCCCCCTAGAACTCTCTGTCTATTTGTAAAAGATGACGGTTAAAAGAGTATCTGTGAAAGCATTTCATCCCGTTTTAGAGAGTGAAACTTTTCTAGAATAAGACGATTTTACTAATCCCCAGCAACACACTCGCACAGAAGAAAAACGAATAAGAAGGAATCTAACCAGAGGAAAATGATAAAATGGAAAAAAGAAAGAAGGAGAAAGTCCAAGGAGGCACACATTTTCCTTATTTCTTTGGGGCTGACATTGGAGTTAAACAGAAGAAAGGGGGATGAGAAAACCCCCATCGTGGTTTCATGTTCAAAACGAGCATACATCATTAAGGATAATTATATGGTGTGACATTAGCATCTATGCTTCTTAAGGATATATCGTTTTATTCAGTGTATTTGGTTTATATTTTTCCTTTCTATAATGAACAAGTTTAAGAATCTATTCCACTAAAATATCTACTTTTTTGAGGAAAATGTTTTCAAATTTGTTTCGATCAAAATTACCTTAATAAATGCTTCCTAACATCATCCAGCGTTGTTTTATCCATTAATTTTTGTACAACTGGATTTTCCAGAGCCCATACGTGGAGGCTCCACAATTTGCTGGAACTCAATTCAACTTCCCAATGCCAGCTGCGCCGCCTGGTGCTCAGAGACATACATAAACATCTAGAGTTTGACATTTTTTGTAGAGTTTGAACAGTATAGCATGCTGTTTGTATTTTTCCTGTCAAATGATGAAGTTAGTGTGTATTATTTCTTGAATGTGCTTGTGTCATATTGTACATGCCATTTAGAAATTCCATGTTGGTGCTGCTGCTGTTCAAGCCTTTGATCAATCGTTGGACTAATGCTTTATTGACAGTGATCCCATTTTCTTGAGTTGCATAGTACTGGTTAAAACATAAGTAGATATGTTGTGACTTGTGCTGTCTGATATGCTCTTCGTCTCTTCCACAACCCCAATCTGTCCTCCCCCGTCCTCCTACAAGAACACATGCACAAACAAGCATACCATATATTCGTTATTTTGGATTTAGTCGCACTTAGGGGTAGGATGCCACATGTCAACATGGTTCTTTTCCATTTTCGCCTGATTGTTGTTCAGCTAATATTGACGTCATGTGAAAATTTTGGGTTTTTTTTGCCTCTTGTAAGTAGAATCATGCTATACTTGGAGGAAATTTTTCACTGATTTCCTATGGCTGTTACCTGACAACTGTCTTCCCGTAGGAAATTTGTGAAATATTTCCCTGTACATTGAGCCGCATCCCTTAAATATAGTGTTGATATCAAAAAATACATCAATAGAATTTCGACCACCTTCTCTCCGCATAAACGCCATTTGCACATTGGAACAACCCGTTTAGAGGTAAAGGCTGCCAATCGAGTTTGGTAATCGTTTGAACGCAGACGGTCAAGTCAACAGTTGGAGAAAAACAAGAAAATGGAGAGGTTGTTTGGCTAGGGTTTGAGTAACGTACCTTAATTGTGGATTCACATATATATGGTAGGCAAATGGGCCAAGTGAGCTAGGGGGTTGAACCCAAGCATTTGGCCCAAAAAAAAAAGTTGTTTAATTAAATAAGTCCGATCCAATTAAATAATCGATGTCGAGTTGGTCAATGTGAAACCTCATTCATCACGTGCATGCCACTTAATTTATAAATATATATAGAGTCAAGTGTCCACAAATAAAAAGATAGCCCGGAAAACAAACCTTCACTTGCTCTCTCGATAATTAGGAAAATCAAGTCTCTCAAATTGGCTCCATTCCGACCCTCGGTAGTTTGTTTAGTTAGTAAACTATGAATTGATGTTATTTCGTTGTGTATTGTGTCCAATACTTTTCCATAATGTGTCGGTGCCATGAAAATGACTTTTTGATCTTTTTCATGAGATGGTAATCATAAATCGAGTAGGTATATTCTTTGAGGTCAAGGCATATTTATTTCAGATCCAATAATACAATTTGGCTTGTAGATAAGGGCGTTGCTGTGTGGTGGGTTTGGTACTTAATTAATAGGGGTGGAGGGTGGATATTTTGTGTGGAATTACCTGAATTATATTAGAATCTTACCTAGTCAACTGGTTAAAATTATTCTGATCTTACCACTGAATTATATTTCAGTGTAAAAATTGTGTTTTTGTAATCTTTAGGGTAATTAAAAAAAATGCCCCTATCGTTTACATTCATTGCTAAAATAGTTCCTACGGTTTCAAATTTGGCATTTACACCCTTATTTCAGACTTTTCTTGCTTTTCGTTAGATTCTGTTAATTCCACTATGAAAAAATGCATCGAATTCACTCACATTATTTGAAAGGGGTAAATTAGTCAAGTCGCTTTATTCTTTTCCTCTCTAAAAGTTTTTGGTGAATATCATTCTAATGGTTTGATGTAATTTACAAGTTTAGACTTCAACTCAAAACGTTGTCAGCAAATATCATCTCTAACCCTTTAACCGTTTGGCACAAAAATAATCATCGAGAAGTTACGGAGTGCAAGTGCTCAAAATTAACTTGCTACAATAGATGCAAAATACCACAATTAAAAAAATATAATAATAATAATAATAATAATAATAATAATAATAATAATAATAATAATAATAATAATAATAATAGTCATTTGCTACACAATAGACAATTACATTTTTAACCAACCAAGCATGATCTCAATAATTCTGATATGCTAAATTACCTGCTATGTATATTACATTAAGCTGATAAACAAAAATTGATAAGATTTACACAAAAAAAAAAAACGATTGCAGCAGTCTGAATAGTTGATTGCAATATACATATTTCCACATCCCTAACCCTAATAATAATAATAATAATAATAATAATAATAATAATAAATTACAGGCACAATAAGAGAACCGACAGCACTTTGCCACCACCAAATGCTACCTGAGGATGTGGGGATATCCAAATATTTTTTTACTTTTAAAATTCTGATTGCTGCAGTTGTTTTTTTGTAAATCCTATCAATTTTTGTCTAACAGCCCAAAGAAATATACAAAGCAAGTAGTTTAGCATATCAGAATTATTCAAAAAAGAGGTTAAACTCCAACCTTGAGGGCCTCCACAGCTCCATTCCTAGAGCTTTGTAAGGGAGGTAAATCGCGGAATGTGCCCCAACAAGCCAGAGAACAAGAGCTGCCTGTACACTGCGCCTACAAAGAATCAAATTCCATATCTCAGGAATCGAACCCTCACACTACAACTCCCAGCAAGGCGTGAGATAATCTCACTCTTATCCTTTGCACCACTAGGCTATGCCCTAGGGGACAGCATATCAGAATTATTGATATCATGTTTGGTTGGTTAACAATGTAAGTATCTATTGTGTAGCAAGTTAATGTTATTTTGTTTTTTCACTATGGTATTTTGTATTTATTGTAGCAAATATTATTGAGAACTTGTACTCCATGACTATTCAATGATTATTTGTGCCAAATAGTTAAAGGGTTAGGGAAGATTTTTGCCGACAATGTTTTGAGTTAAGGTCTAAAGTTTAAACTTGTAAATTACATCAAACCATAAGGATGATATTTACAAAAAAGTTTAGAGAGGACATACAAAAAATAAGAATAATATATATATATATATATATAGATATAGTGATTTGACTAATTTACCCTTGTCAAATAATATGAGTGAATTTCATGCATTTATTTCAGGGTGGAATTAAGGGAACGTGATGGAAATGACCAATTTCGTAAGAAAGGTTTGAAATGAGGGTGCAAATATTAAATTTGAAACGACGGCGATTATTTTAGCAATGAATGCAAACAATATGGACTTTTTTGCTAATTACTCTTGTAAGGTAAATTTATTCAAATAGTCAAGAAGAATTAGAAGGCGCGAAGACAATTTTTTAGAGCCTGTTTGGGAGTGATTTTGAGAATTGATTTTTTGACCTTTAGGAGAAAAGTGGGGTCCACCTATGAGAGAAGAAGTCAAATATAGTGGTTAAAATAGTGAAATAACGATCAAAAAATCAATTTTTTTGAAGGAAAAAATCGCTCCCAAACAGGCCCTTATATTTTCATATATTACAATTGTCGTGTAAATTGTAATGGTCTACTTTTATATTTACGGATGAATGCATAATTAAAATAATAATATCAATTATTCGTATTTCTAGTCAAAAAGTGATTCTTCTGTTCACTTTCGGTGCTACCTAGGGAATCTTCTGCCCACGGCTGCTCAAAAAGTCCAAAAACAATATTTTTGACAATTTTTAAATTTTTGTTTCCAGAACTTTTGGACTGTAGGTAACACCGTAACAGAGGGATATGTTTCCTTACGTTTTTCAATTTATTTTTTTTAAAATTTATTTAGCATTAAATTTAGGATTTTACGTTTTTGCCTCTTAATAATAATAATAATAATAAAAACAAACTTGACCGTCGGGCGTAAGTTCAAATCCAAAAAAATGGAGAATTTGTATTTAAGAAAAAATTGCAACAGCGATCCCTAACCTTTCATTTTTTTGCAAACTTTACCATAATTTTCAATTTGTACCAATAGAGATCATCAATATTAGAAAAATAAGCATTTGTGGTCCAAATTCCATCTAATTGACTAACAAAAGTGGATTTTAACTAATTTTGATCAAATTGAAATGGGTAAAATCATAATTTTGCTATTTTATACATAAAATAATTTTTAAAAACCAAAAAATAAAATAAAAAAGAGAAAAGAGAAAAGAAATCAAAGTAAAAAATCATCTTCTTTCACATCTTATCCACCCAACCCAAACCAAAACCTAGAAAACAATTACCTAATTACCCATATGTTGTCGTCGACCACCTCCTACCACTGTTGGCCATCGTCGGCCACTAACACAAACCAATACCAATTTGAAAACCACAACATCCCACCCTCCCCACACCCAAACCAAAAATCATAAAACACTTGCGCACCCATCGACTTGTTATTGTCGACAACCATCCACCACTGCTGGCCACCATCACAAACCAAAACCAACATCTCAAACAAAACAACACAAAAAAATCTCCCCCTATTTGAAAATCACGATCTCAAAACTAACTCCATCAAAATGGGACGATGTATTGAAATGGCTAGCAAATCAATCGAAAGGGGAAGATAAAAATCAAACAAAAACTTTCTCCAGTAATTCAAATACTGATGATAGGAGATTGATAGCTCTGGTACCAAAGAAGGAAAACTCGAGTGGCGAGGAGGAAGAAAATGATGGTGCTGGCTCTATAAGTGCAAGTCAATATAAAGTGGGAACTAAGATAGTAGATTGTGATGATATAGAGAATTAATAAGCCTGTTGTTGGATAATTGCCTCAAAAGTCAAAAGTTGGAGGACTTTTATTGCAAATAATAAAATATAGTTAAAACTTCTAACTAAAGTTGACAGCAGAATCCTTGCAGAATTTGGTTTCCAATTTATTGCACATGAAGAAATTCTTGTTGAGTTAAAGGAGTATTGTCTTGGTTTAAATTAATCTCTACTACTTGATTATTGATTCTATACATAGTGGATGTATTTAATTATTTTGGGTATGGCCAGAGAGTTTATCTGCGAAAAAAATATTATGAGCTTAGCATCTCGAGTCTTTTGGTGTAAAGGTTAGAAAAGTATGTGTGGTAAAGTTCGGGTTTATTTTTCTTTGTAATACTTGGAGATTAAGTTGTCGAGTGAAATTCTATATGATTGTAACAATTTTTCATATAGTGAAAACTTTTAACGGTCCATTTAACTTGTGGGTTATATTCTTTATTTTTACTATTTGCTAATATTCTCTTGAACAACAAAAGATCTTGCGGGTGAATAGAAATAAAAGGAATTGACGTAAAATTTTCCAACAAGCGGTATCAGAGCGTCAAATAGTTCGAAGTATT